TTTTCTTTTTTTGTACCTACCCGAGTTCTTAATATGAGAACTCAAACATTTTTTATCTACCCGAATTCTTAATACGAGAATTCAAGCTTTCATGTGCCGTTTGGGGATGTTGATAAAAGGTACATGTTCGTCTGACCACTCAATTTTAGATCCAATATCCCCAAATAACGGGATGCGATATTCGAGAACAAAATTAGTTTTGTTGATCATATCCAGCAAGTTATTTGGATCATTGTTGATTTATCCAAATATATATAGGATTTAATCCAATAACTTTGAGATGTGTGGCATTAAATTTTAAATTATATATTTTTTTGTGTTATTGAAGCCAATTTCTCTTTTATTTTTATGTTATTTTTATGTTTGTTTCTTACCAATCTATATATAATAGCAAAAAAAAAAATGAATATTTTTGGGTTGTGACTTTTCATGAAAAATCGTTTAGTAGTTAATTTCAAAAGTTGCGTCTTTTCGATATAACCGTTTTCTCAAAAGTTGTGTCTTTCATATAGAAAAACCGTTTTATGGTTATTTTCCAAGGATCACGTATATTCGGAAAAAAAATTTTGCCTACAGATTTGTGTTCCTTTTCCGTTGAACTTTTTTGTTAATCATGGCTACTAATTTTTTTTTTTCACTTAAAGCATAAGAAAGATAAAAAAACATCATTCTATTAATTTGAAATTATTTTTAAATATAGATGTTTTTACTATTATATTTTAAAGTTAACAAGACTTTGCCAAGAGATGAGTATATATTCATACATAGCAAAGGATTATGCGAGAGAATTGTAGTCTTCGATGGCATGGTGTTGAAAATGGTGATACTCTTTTTGTGCTTAAAAGATCTATTAGTCGTAATTACAAAGATTTTACATAAGTTTAAGATTTGTATTCAGGTTATTCTATACTACTAGATTAAGACCCGCGTTAATACGCGGATAAACACATTAAAATTTATTAATATCAAAACTTAAGTTTTAATTAGTAACCCGTTAAATTACAAAAATATTTATAAAAGTATTTTGTTAGAAATATTTTAACATGGATCTTAAACCATTGAAGTTTAATTTATATATTAATTCTCATGTCATAATTCATATTATGCAGACCCAAATATATCTTATTACAAATGCATTGATATCATCGGTTTATTTTTCATAGAGATCTATACTCGTCAAATCTTACACTGTCTTAACCATAAATA